TGTTGGTAGGTTGTTTGATGAACAGGCTTTAACTAGGATATCAATGATTAGTTGTTTTGGGAGTGTATCAAAATACTTTGTTAGATCTGAGACAGTGATTGCAAGATCCATTTCGAAAGTTTTGTGTGTGAACCACCCCCCGCCATGTATACACTTGTAATTTAATCCTATTGATTCCTTCAGTTGTACGTTTTGCTAGTATGTTTGATTCTGTTTGGGATGGTTACGTTCGCATTTTATCATAGTTTTATTTTCCCTACGCTTTTACTGCGCTTACCTGTTTCTTCCCAAACTGCATTTATGTTGTTCTAGTTGATACTTAGTCTTGATGGCAGCCATATTTGTTTGTTCATCCTCTGATTATGTTGCTTGTATTGACTGGGGTTGTGCATTTTTGATTGTGAACTGAAGAGCTCATCCAGAATTAAAAACAACCAAATATTATTCTTCTAACGAATCTGTATGTGATCTATCCAGAAAGGATAGAATGGCATTTATTTGGTGTGGTTGGTAATCTAGACAACCACCTAGAAGTAAGAGTCGGCGTCAGCTTTCAGTCCCCAACCAATGAGATACAAAAAGGATTAGAGTGAAAGTGATAAGTGTGCACTACACTGCTTATCACTTTTTACACATGAACGAGTTGCTGATATACTTCATTTCATAACTACACTTACAATGTTATCTATTCAAAATAGATGTACGAGCTCGGAATGAAAATTCGAGCAAATATCTTCTGCAAAAGAACTATTTATCTGTATAATCCCTTCCTGGAAGCGATTGTATTGCCCCACTCTTCTGGAAATCTTTGATGTTTATTTCCGTCCTTCAAGAAAGATCGGACGGTTCAAGTGGTAAAGAAAGAAACAGGAGCCTGAGCTCAAGTATCATCTTTTCGTACCTAATAGCTGGGGACGACAGATGCTCTCATCCAGGGATCCAGGTATATTTGGCAGGAAAAAAAGCAATAATAACAAATTACAGTAAATTACTGTTTGGAGTCCTCAAGTATATATCAAGCGCCCTATATGGAAGTCGCTTGATCAACTGCCGCCAGTGAGTTCCAGGACTCGAATATGCTCAAAGGGTAAGTCCACCTACAATGCAGGGCTTATATAGATATGTTAGGGTGGTAGCAGTAGATGCATGGGTAACAACAGACCGGATAAACCGTATATATACTACTTGTTACATAGAAGTACCATATAAAACTTGACCACAGTTTTTAGGCTGCCCAAGCAAAAATTTGCCTCCGATTTGCCTCTGTTTTTCTTTCCTCTTAAAACATAATTTACGATGACACCTTAAAATAGTTCACAAGCCCAGAAGAAATTACTTGTCTGATGACTATTAATTTTTCCATAGATTCATTCACTGCTAGAACCCGTTACTCCAACACGTGATAAAAGCTCTGTTTGTCAGATCATTGAATTTGAGCCAACTAATAGGCTACTATTTTCAGGACTATCTTACGCTACCTAGCTCTTGTTCTTTCCGAACTAAGGCTGAAAGTGATCTAAAAAGGCGAGTTATTTAAACGTCATTTGAACTAAAGATACCACAAGTAATTGTAGTTTGACAGCGCTTTAACCTGTAATGCCCATAATTGGATCGTGACCACTCGGTGAAATCAAAATCAGAAGCGACGAGGTTCGAAGATACAGTTGATAGGCTATCAGTATATCTAGGATCGATTGATCTAAGCTGGCTAGCGATTGCAGGGGATGTTGAGCACGGGGTTTCCACTTGTGATCCGGTGCGGATGCATGACCGATCTCTTTCAGCTAGGTAAGTCCATTAAAATGAATGTGATCGGCATCGGATATCGAAAACTGACAGAGGTATCAATTTCGGGGACTTATTTACCACCACAGATCACTCCTCTCCTAGTGGGGTGGTGATGATACTAGGACATGGCCAGCCAAAATTTAAAACCAACGAGTTTGTCCTTGGTAGACACTCTTCTGATAGCTTGCAATGTACATCAGCGTCTGGTTGGCTTTCTTTACTATAAGAGGCCATGTGGTAAAATATAATAATGAAGAAACGGATACAATGAAAATTTCGGTTCATCGTAAAGTTCGTCTTTTCCGGCCGTTCGGAAAAAGAAAAAGGGATATGTAAGTCTATGTCGAATTATACTTGTACAAAGCGGGCGAAAAAAGAATAAAACTAATATACATGCGTTTCGTAGACATGCGATTGCGTATAAGCGATTTATACAGAAGGGCATTTTGAAAAAATACAAATACACACATTTGAAAGGGAATATTAGCAACAAAAAAATAGTTTTTGGAATAAATAAATATATATAAGCATATTGAAATTTGTTTGCTTGTTTTTATTTTTAACATAATATGACGAAAAATCGCGACGAAACAAAATGTTATTCAATGCTTTACGTGCAGTAATCGTTTAGCTGTTATGGAAACCTTATTCTTCTTTCGGGACTCATTGTTTTGAGTCTGTTGTCAGATGCCGTCGAAGCATTATCGTGTTTGTTGATTATCGGATGAGGTATCGTAAACGCAGGATTCGTGTCTGTCGATTGTACCGAAAGAAAACCGACTTGGATAGGGTTTTCTTTTAAATACGCTGCTTTGATGCTATCGATGCTGATGCTATCGTTAGTCCCGTTCTTATCGATTATATAGTACTTCGATTCGCGGTGAAGAACTTTGAAGGGTCCTTAGTATGTTGTTTTGAGTGGTTGTCGAACTGATTTCCTACCTACAAAGACGTGTATACTATATCGTAAGACTGGTTGAACGAAAACATCAGTTGACTGAGGTCGAGTGGAAACAGGTTTGGCTGAACACGTTGCGTTTGTAAGCATGCTCTTGTAGGAGTTTAGATCCATATTCGTTGAAGATGTAGGATACACGAATTCCCCTGGAAGTCGGAGTGTCGTTCCATCAGCGAGTTGAGTTGCAGTGTATCCAATGTCAGCTTTCGCTGTATTGCGAATACCAAATAAGACGAGTGAAAGAGCACCGGTCCACAGTCAGACGTTTGGAGCTGATAGTGTGGCTTTCAGCTGTCCGTAAAAGCGTTCTACCAACCCGTTTGCTTGTGAGTGGTAGGCTGTCATTAGTAATCATGTTATTTTTAATAGTGTAGTCAGACAACGGAACAGTCTAGGTTCGAACTGGCGTTCTCGGCCTGTAGTGATGGTTGAAGGGCAACCGGAGTTGGCTACCCATCACTCGAAGAAGGCGCGGGCCGTTGTTTCAGCAGTAGTGTCCTTGATAGGTACTGCTTCTGGCCATCGAGTGAAACGGTCTACTCAAGATTAGAGATAAGAGTATCCATTTGAATCTGGTAAAGGTTCAACCAACCCCAGATGATCATAATTGAAGCGAGCATCGAGAGTTGTGAAAGAACCCATGGGATATTCATTGTGTCTAATCACATTAGATTTCTGGCAGCTTATACAGGAGCGTGCCCACTCCCTTACGTCTTTATCCATACCAGGTCAGAAAAATCGTTATGCTATGGGCTTTATGGTTGCACGAACGCCTGAATTAGAAATTTTGTGCAACGTATTGAAGACGTTGCGTCGATGATGTTTCGGCACGACTGGACGATCCCTACCTGTAGATGAGTCGCATAATAAGGACTTATTACCTCTCCCCAACTGTTCAACACGCAGTTTAATGGTTGTTGAGGATAACTCGCTCTGAAGAATAGTGTCTTCCTTTTGAAGCTGGGTGAGTTCAAGAATGTCGATTCCTCGGAAACTGTTCAAGGAAGTTATATGAGACAAAGCGTTTGCAAATACATTGTTTGCCCCAGAAATGTGTTGAATGACTGAAGTGAACTGCGAAATGTAGTCCAGTCGTTCAGACCCTCGAGGGGAGTACTTGTATGAAGCTCAGCTCAAAGAGAATGCAAGAGGTTTTTGATCAGTGAAAAGGATGAATTCTTGACCTTAAACAGAGTGCTGAAAGTCCCATACAGCCCAATAAATAGCTTGGAGTTCCCTAGTGAAAATGCTATATCTCGATTCGGAGTCTAGCAACCATCTTCAGAAGAATGTCAAAGGTTGCCAGGATTGGTTAATTCATTGTTCCAAGATTCCCCCGATCGTCGAGTTTGATGCGTCCAGTGCGACACTAATGGATGCTTAGATGTCCTGGTGTGCAAGCAATGTTGCTCTGGCGATAAGTTCCTCAACTGTGACGAATACTTCCCGCGACGTCGTCCAAATTGATGGGTTTTGAATTTGCAAGAAGTTGGTCGGTTAAAGGTCTCATAAGAGACATGCAATTCGGTATGAACCATTTATAAAAACTTAATAGGTGGTTAAACGTGCGTAATTGCCTGATTGTGGTCGGTTATGGGTAATTAAGAATTGCCACCGCTTTGCTTTTTAGAGGTCGGATGCATGTCGTGATGTGATATGCAACATTGATGGTCACACATGGGAATTCCGGTTGCGTTCGGTATATCTAGGGGTACTTGCCGGGTATTTGTTAGTAGTATGGATGGTGTGCCTTACTATGACTGGGTGTTATCTACAACCAGAAAAAGAAGTGACAGAAACAGACATATTAGTGTTTCCGCCTACTAACCTCCGTTTGAGCGTATTGATGAGTAAATCATGATGTTGTAGCAGGTCTATACCAATGGTTGGCATAGAAACGTCTGGAACAACGAAAATCCAGTGCATGGGTTTGCGTAAGCCCACATTAAGATAGACGTACCGTTTACCATACGCGGCGATCGGTTTTCCGTTTGCCGCCTATAAGCTTAAGACTGGTTTGTGCAGTCGGTCGTTAGAAATCGCTGGAAGAACGATAACTTCGACGTGGTAGCGAACTTTCGTAACCCCATCAGTGACATATAACGGGCAGCTATGTTCGCCTTTTACAGGTATAAAACGGTATATAATTGGCAACCTGATATCACACAGCCAGAGCTTGTTGATGGGACTTATATGATTATCTCCGTCAAAATGTTCTGAGAATTTGAGCTATATCATTTCTGTCTTCATCTTCCGATCATACTAGATGTAACTCCATGATCACATCGCTTACTGTTAGCTAATGCTTCTAACATTGATTTTCAGACGAAACACAATGAGAAATATGCCTTTCTGTAGCCGGGAGTGTGTCTCCTTCATTAAGATGCAGAGTTCAAAGAACAAACAATCCAGCAGTATTTGGACGTTCTAGTTTTGAAGCGTCAAGTTTGTATAAAGCGTTACGGCGTCACTGAGTAATCTAATAACAAACTTAGTCTGCTTCGGGTACGTTGCATTTCCCAATATTTTCCCAATTTTTATTAATGTATGTGGCCTATTTTTCTCGTACTTCGACTCGAATAGATTGAATTTGTACTCGTCTCATGATTCATGTCTCGTAAATGGAGGACATATGTCCGTATGTACATATGTAATAGTTTCATTGACAAGCACTGGTAAAACTTCATCACTTTCTTGTTTCAACATATGGCACTTCATCGTATTTAGTCGTCGGACTAACAGGTATTTGATTTCCGCATGAAGTACCTCGAAAATACTTCGTTGAGGTCAGTAGCTACCACGTAATTTCCAGTCTTCAGTAATAAGGATATTAGGTTGATGAACCTGTGTTAATCCTAGCAGTTTGCCTTCCAGTGAAGGTTCAGCCTCTTGTAAACGTTCATTGATGGGACTGATACCACTTGTTCAGGTAGGGAGTTCCATTCATTGACCACTCGATGAAAAAAACGGAATACCACTTTAAGTTTATTAAATCCCTGTTTGTGAACCTTTTTGCCATGACCTCGGAAATTATCAGTGCTGGATGGAGCAAAAAGATAAGAATAACACCCAGATCGTATATAAAGATACAAAATACCAATAAAAGGTCACTTCGTACCCTACGATTCAGATTCACATTTGTGTAGTAAGGACAGAAGGCCTACGACCTATGTTATTCCTTTTCTAGTATGCTTCTGTGAGTGTCCAGTCTTCTCTTGAAAGAGCCAATTGAAGGTGCGGACACCAGTGCTTCGGGCAGCAGGTCCCAAGTATTGATGATTCGGTGTGAAAACCTGTATGTCACGGGTATTTTGTTCGTTCTTGTCTTTTCTACTCGCCTGCTATGTCCTCTAAGGTGTCCCGATCTAGTGGTAAGAAAGAGAGAGAATAAGTTAGGTCCAAAATCACTTCTCAGTATTCTGTACATCAAAATTAGATCTCCCCTTAATCTGCGATAGGACAGAGTAATGAGGTTCAGCTTTTCAAGCCACTCTTTGTATGGCAAACCCCGGAGTTCTGGAATTGTACGGGTAGCTACCCTCTGTACTTTCTCTAGGATATCCGAGTCACCTTTTAAACAGGGGCTTGCAGCCTGAACAGAGTTCTGAAGCTTAGTTCTCACTAAGGATGTGTATACTGGGGTGAACATGGTAGTATCCAACTTATTGAATGTCCGTTTTAAAGCCTAAAGAGTTCGACCTCCCGGCAATGGGCCGTGGTCTTAAGATCATGACTCACTGTCACCCCTAGATCCTTATGAGACCGGACTACGGGTAATGGCACTTCCCCTATGTTGTACCTATTAACCTTTGAATCCCCAAAGTGCATGTGAAGTATTGATAATACTATCCCATCTGATCACTCATGAAACCATGATTTTTTATAATGAGAATGCCATCATAGCAACCGATGGTTAGAGACCCTGAATGACATGGTTCGAAATCGTTTGCAATAGCGCAAGTGCATCCGTTCTTTGTGTTCTCCCAAATTCTAATCTGAATTCTCCTTGTATCTTTTTTCCTCTTTCCAAATATATTTCATTGTATTATACTCCTTGAATAGCATCTTCAAAACCTAATCTTCCCGATTATTGCTTATACTCTTACCGCCTCTACCACTACGGGATTTGAATCGACAACTGCATCTCTGTGCTAATGTGGTGTGGCAACTCGAACTGATGTACGTACGTACGAAGTTCTACGTTGTTACTGACTAACTGACTGACGGGGAACCTTTGAATTCCCAAAATGCATGTAGACACACTTTGCCGCTTTGATAGGTATCAGCCACTCTTTAGACTAGTTAATTATATTATTTAAGTCTGCCTGAAGAGCACATGCGTATGTATCTCCAGTTATTACTCGCCAGATCTTTATATCGTCAGCGTATAATAACATTGGAGACTGTACTATACTTGGAAGATCATCAACATACATTATAAAAAGTAAAGGATCTAGGACGTAACCTTGAGGTACTCCGCTAAGTACTGGTCTCGAGATGGAGCACTTGGAATTTATTCTTACTTTTTGTCTACGACCTACTAGGAAATCCTTAATCCATTTTAAAAGAGGTCCGGCAATACCAAGGTTTTCCAACTTCAGGAGCAGTCTGTTAGTTGGCACTTTGTCAAAATCATTACTGAAGTCTATGTAGACAACATCCACTGAGTTCCCGTTGTCTAGCGCCTTTATCCAAGATTCCCTTGCTATAAGGAGGTTCGTTGTACAAGATAAACCCTTTCTAAAACCATGTTCTGTGTTTAGCAAGTTATTGGTTTCCATAAATGTTATTATGGTCTGTTTGACTATCCTTTCAAATATCTTAACTACAACACTGGTGAGGCTTACAGGTCTGTATTTCGATGGAAGTTGTCTTGGTCCTGTTTTATGTATGGGAGTGACGACTGCGTCCTTCCAGTCCATAGGTAACACACCTTGGTCAAGTGACATATTGAATATCAGTCAGTGGGGCCGCGATATATTGTGCAATATGTCTCAAGATTTTGGGGTGTAGTCCATCTGGTCCTGTTGACTTTTCCATGTTTAGGGTGCTAAGAGCCTTAAGCGCATCGTCTTGATCGAAGTCCACGGTGAGCAGGTGGTTTGTTGACTCTTTATTTTGGTCTGTTTCTTTGTATAGAGGAGGTTCCTGAGTGAAAACTGCCCCAAAATATTCAGTCATAGCCTCTGCTTCTTCCTGATATTCCTCTATCATTCCAGATTCATTCCCTTCTTTAATTGGGTTGAAAATCCAATGGTGCATCTTTGTTCTGTAGCTTATGTACGAGAATATTCTCTTAGACTGTTTGGGTGCTGATTGTGCCAACTGCATTTCATACTCTCTTTGAGCTTCCCAAATTTTAGTTCCATCGTACCTGCTGTGCAAAGACTGATAGCAACACTCCGACATTTTTTCTTTTATGAGTAAACGTCGAACATCCCGGCCTATCCAGGGATGGCCGTGCTTCTTCTTCTTTGGGACTGTCCAGGGTATGTATGGTTGAGTTACCCGATTGTATAACTGCCTGAAATGAGTCCATGCCTCTTGTACTGATGCCCTTGAGTCAATTCTCTAGTTTTCAGCCGATGCTTTGGAGTTGATTGCCTCCATATCTGCCTTCCATATATTAGGATGGGCCGGCGCAACTGTTTGATAGGCAATCTCAGCCATGAATTTGAATAATATAACTGCATTGTCACTTCTCCCTAGTGATGGGAGGAAAGTCATTTGACCAACGTCATCACCGTGTGTGAAGACTAAATCTAAAAGAGAAGAGTTTCTTTAGTCATATATTGTGGGGTTTCTAATGTGTCCGAATAAAGCTAATCCAATTGAGGTTCCTAACAGTTTGCAATCGAATGACGTAATAGATGACCCTACTTCTAAGTTAACCCAGTTTACATACGGTACATTAAAGTTGCTTACTACAAGGCTTTTACCCTTGTTACACCAGGACTTAAGTTTACTAAGGAGAAAATCATCTACTACACATTCTGGACTGCGACATACTACAACTAATTCAATATCTTGCCGTCCACATTTCAACTTGAATCGCACTAGTTCACATGTCCCTGAAATATGTGCCACTGCTTCAACTTCTCTTATGGTTAGGGTACTCTTCGTGTACAGGATAACCCCGCCTCCCCTGCGGTTTAATCTATCAGCCCTACTGGATAAAAAACCAGTCAACTTAATTTCATTATCTAATACTTCTGACGTTAACCAAGTTTCTGAGACAGCAATAATATCTGATTTTTCTTTATCCAACATTGACTTGAGCTCCGCCATTTTATATAGTAGGCTGCGAGCATTTGTGTAGCATACCTTTAAGTCTGTGGAGAACTTTCCCTTACCACCCAGAGTAGTTTTGGGATCGTTTTTCTCCGAACTTTTACAATTTGAAAACCCTTAAGAACGAGGTTTCTTTCACTGTTTCAGCGACGCTCATTTTTTTCCACTTCTGCAGCTCGTCTCTTAATACGATCAGCTAGGCTAAGATCCTCACGGACATATATTCCGGATCCAATCAGTTTACGTGACTTACCTAGAATCAGGTTCCTTTCTTCAACCGTGGCAAATGTAACCTTCAAGAGGTGGTTTTTCTGAGGACATTCAGAATCGTCCTTTTGTCCTATTCTATAAAGCTTACAAATGATAACTCCTGAAACTGTATCTGGGAGTAGTTTGCTTATTAAGGACTAAATATGGCTGAGGTCGTGTTCAAATCTAGCCTTTGGTTCCTTATCGGAAGATTCTCTTAACTTATGAAAAATGACTGACCTTTCAGAGAGGTCTGTCTTGACATGCAGTGGAATTTTTGTTTCTGATACCGTCTCTTCCAGTGACTTGCTAACCAGCTGCGTTTTGTCTACAGCTCTTTTCTTCTCGTTTCTTTTTCTCCGTACTGAAGTCCATCTATCATCACTCAGGACAGCCACACCGGGACTATTTGGAACGGTGACAGTTTTATCGGGTCTTCAATTTCCACTTGAGGTGTATGATTACCAATGTCAATATCAACCAGCACTTCACTCCTCGTTAGTGTTAACGGAGGTTTCACTTTCCCGTCAATCACAGTCGGGTGTTTAGCGGGTTCGGTAGCAGCACGTACTACACTGACACATTCTTCACCGTCAGTGCTCTTGCTATCAGCGCAACCGCCATCATTTTTCTTACAGGCCAAAGCCAATAGGCTCATAGCCTCCTGGATTAGTAACTTCTTATTTGTACAGCAAAACATACAAAGCCAATGCGAGTTAGGCTTCCAGCCCCCAATGCCCTGGTATGGCCGAGAGTGAGGTGGGCCCGCCACGCGTATACAGCCTCTGTCAGGGAAGTTCTACTCACTGCCTTCTCGTGGCGGGGGTGTTGTTTACGAAAATGAGAGGACGAAAAGAGAATGTTCGGCGCTTTAACCGGATTCCAAACCAATGGTGCACATGGGCTCCAGTATCCTACGGGAACAAATGGCGTATGAACCAATTGTTGGTCACCGGCTACCATGG